ACAGGATGTTAACTAGTGTTTAGACAGGAAAATGGCAATTAAATGGGAACAAATTCCAAACTCCAAACAAATTCCAAATTCCAAACTGTCAAGACAGTGTCCTTATATTGCACTTAGAAACTCACAACTGGAAAGGATTAGATAGTAGCCCAAAAAGATCAAAGAAGATAGAAAATCGCACCTCCCCCCCCATTGTCAGATGGGATAATCCTTACTGATTCCTCCTTATGGAGGGCAGATGAGCAAATGATTGGAATTTGCATGATATGTGATTATACATCTCTGCATAATCAGGACTTGCAACACCCTGATTGCTCCTATCTGATTCTTCCTAAGGAAAAAAAAAAAAAAAGAACAAGAAAATGCCCCCCAGAAAATGTTTGTGTGAAACGAAGGACACCTTCCACTTAAAAATGTATTCACTGTGATATCGACAAAGGATGATAGCATGTGGGAACAGCGACATACTAGGAAAAATAAATGTCAGTGAGTTCTGGAGTTGCTTCAGGTGGTTTCAATATATCTTATCAAATTTAGAATTATGTCCTAGCCTTCATATAAAGTATGAAGTTGCAATATTTTCCATCAATGCCGAGTGACATACTATGAGTCTCAAGGAGCTTATGATTACCTTTTTTCTTATTTATTGAAAAACAAGTTCTTTTTCCCTGCCAAAAAGTGTGTTGGGGACATTTTTTTTTTGAGACGGAGTCTCCCTTTGTTGCCCTGGCTAGACTGCAGTGTCGCGGTCATCATAGCTCACTGAAACCTCAAACTCCTGGGCTCAAGCGATCCTCTTGCTTCAGCCTCTCGAGTAGTTGGGACTACAGGCACACACCACCACGCCCAGCTAATTTTTTCTATTTTTAGTAGAGCCAGGGTCTTGCTCTTGCTCAGGCTGGTCTTGAACTCCTGACTTCAAGCGATCCTCCCGCCTCAGCCTCCCAGAGTGCTAGGATTACAGGTGTAAGCCACTGTACCCTATTAGGGACACTTTTTAGAGGCTGTAGTTTTGGAAAAGGCAGACTGTGAGGCCCAGAGCTCATTATATGTTACTGGTGGGGTGGGGATTTGGAGCCAGTACTCTTGGCTTAGTATCATGCTGGGTTCATTTTCTGAGACACCAATAGCTCAACCCTACCTAGTCTGACTTCTGTCTGCCCTGTGCTCAAGCTGACCTCTTATTTGCCACTCGTTTGGGCATTTTCCAGTCCTTAATGGCTTGGGCTTCACGTTGTTGATTAGCGCCATGCTCCTCACACCCTTTCTTTACTCATTCACATGGCTCTTTCCTGAGAGCCCACACATGCCAAAGACTGCCCTGGGCACTGAGGGCAGGCAGGTATGTCTCTCTTCCGACTGTCCCTGTTGCCTACCTTTGTAAACTTTTCTGTAAACGCCTTTCATGTTGTTTGCTAGGGTTCTGTTTTCCACCTTCCTTTTTTTTTTGCAGGGGGTGGAGACAGGGTCTTGCTCCGTCACCCAGGCTGGAGTGTAGTGGTGTCATTTTAGCTCAATGCAGCCTCAAACTCCTGGGCTCAAGAGATCCTCCTGTCTCAGCTTCTCGAGTAGCTAGGACTACAGGCACAGCCACACCCAGCTAATTTTTTTTCATTATTTCTTGTAGACATGGAGTCTATGTTGCCCAGGCTGGTCTTGAACTCCTGGTCTCAAGTAAACCTCCCACTTTGGCCTCCCAAAGTGCTGGTATTACAGGTGTGAGCCACTGCACCTGGGTCTCACTAGAGACCTCAACTTCTAGAGGTTGGCATGGGCCATTTTAGGCTCTCTTGGTGTTTTAACCACCATCCATTTGCTGATGTCTTCCACATCTGCACCTCCTGCCCACAGCTGTTTTGGTCCAGCTGTGTGTCAGACACTGCCATCTGAGATGCAGGTTTACACAGGAAGATGAATTCAGTTATGTTCTGGCTCCAAAGAACTTCTTCCAGGTCCTCAACTCAGCCATTCGGGCTACCTTCCCCTGTCATCCCTGCCGGGCTTATTCCTGGCTATCCTTCAAGGGTCCTCCTAGGCGTCGTCTTCTCCAAGAAGACTTCCTGACCTTCTCCTTGCCCTTCTCCCAAATGAGGTGCATGACGCCCCGGCTCAGCAGCCGTAAGCCTCTCCAGCACAAGCACAAAGCCCTTCTGGGTTTGCCTTCCATGCCCACCCTGAGGCCCTGCACTGGGCCAGGCACACAGCAGGCCCACCCGAAGTGCGCAAACCTCACACGTACTAACGCTCAGATGGCGAGGGCAGGGAGCGACGGGAAGGACTTGTATCAAACAGACTTCCAGGACAGCCAAGGTGGCCGAAGCGTTCCTGCCGGCCACAGAAAGGGGAAGCCGGACCCAGGCGCGGTGCGGTGGGGCGGCAGCGCCTCCCAGCAAGCCTCGCGCGACGGGGCGGGGCGGAGCGGAGCGGTTCAGCTCCCGGCAGGCCTGGGGCGACGGGGCGAGGCCGGGGGTGCAAGGCCGCCAGCGTGGTTCGCACGTGCGGGTGGAGCCGCCCCCAGCGCGTGGCGCGCTCTGATTGGACGGTCTCGAGCAGGGCGGGGCTGCGTGGGCGTCGGGCGGTCGCCTGTTCCCGCCGCGGCGCTGGGCGGTTGAGGCGGCGCGGCGTCCATCATGCTTCGCAAACTCACCGTCGACCAGATCAACGACTGGTTCACCATCGGCAAGACCGTGACGAATGTGGAGCTGCTGGGCTCGCCGCCCGTCTTCCCGGCCGAGGCGGCCCGGGAGGAGGCGCCGCGCAAGGACGCGGCCCTGGGCTCCGGCCCCGCAGTCCGGGCTAAGACCCCGGCCCTGGCCCTGGCGTGGCCGGCAGCGGCGTTCGGGAGGTAGGACGCGGGCGGCAGGGGCGGTCGAGCAGGGCGCCGGCCTCGAGGGCTGGGCTTGCCCAGACTCGCCTGGATCCCCTACGGAAGCGGGTCCCCACGCCCGACCTGAGACCTGCGCGCCTGAGCCTTTCGGGTGTTTGTCCCGCCGTTCCCTGCCGGAAGCTGAGCTAGAGTTTTGTTCAGTTTAAAAAAATTTTTTTTTATCAGTAGACTCTATTTTTTAAAGCAGTGTTAGGTTTCCAGAAAAACTGAACAGAGTGTGAGTTCCCATGTACCCTCTCCCATTCCGCGGTTTCCCCATTAACATCTGCGTAAGTTTGGTGCCTTCGCTACCGTTGATGAGCCGCTGCGATGCATTATGGTTACCCGCGGCCCCCAGTTTACTTTAGGGTTCACTCTGGGTGTTGTATTTCTGTGGGGTTGGACCAATGTATGGTGACGTGTGTCTGCCGTTATATTACAGTATCAGACACAAGAGTTGCACTGCCCTAAAAATCCTTTGTGCTCCACTTATTCGTTCTCCCCCCGAAACCTGGACCCCCTCCCCGCCAAG